TGTACACATTTTATCTGCCTACCTGATCATTTATTAATGCAGTACCGTAGAAACTTGCTGGATTGTTTGTTTTATTGACGTTTTTTGATCCGAATTCTACTACGTGTTGATCGTTAATCTATTTGGGAGACACCCGGTAAATGGAAAAATACAACCGAGAGCATCGAAAATCAACGGCGACCAACGCCTTTGCACCCGAACCCACTACTATTAAGTCATTACTCTGCAATAAGGGGGTAAATGGCAGATAAAACATCTTCGGGGAAATCAAGAGCGAATAAACAGGCAAACAAAAATGCGTCTGGGGGTATAAAATAACGCCGCTAAAGAGGATTTCGGCCGTAGATATAATTATAACTATGAGCCCATTTTCCACATCGAGGTGTGTGCAAACACCCGAAAATAAGAGGCCATATAGTGTTTGGGAAATTGACATCTGCTATCAAGATGCAGATTTTTTTCTAGAGAACTTCTTTCGCTGTCCGGGCTCTGTCACTTTTTCAGCATGTTCATGTGCCCACGCGGTAGTTGGGGATCAAAAATTCATCCTTGGTGTTTTCGCCGAGGCAGTCAGATACGACCAGGATTGATCTCCCTCCACCTGTTGCATCTAGTGATCACTCCGTTTTGCATATACACCGGAGGCGTGGAGCACCCCGAAAGGAAAGACCTCAGGACGGACGGAATGTGTGGCGGTCATCCTTTCCGGAAACGCGTCAGGCTGCATCGCTCATAAATTGGGATTCCCGAAACCCTGAGGATGTGGATGTATCCTAGGAGCTGATTCGTCATAGGATCCATCAACTCGTACTGGAATTATCTCCACTCCACCGCCACCAAACACACGCTATGAGCCCGCCGTTGTTTCGTCGAGAACTGCGGGCGTGCCTCCGGCTGCTGAATGAAGCCTGGTCTGTGCAGCAGGCCCAGGATATGAGGAATATTGATGTATTCGGAATCACTGTAATGCACTAAAAAGACACAAGAGAACCATATTCGAGGAACGACTCACAGCGGATGCTGTACAGGCACCGAAGCGATTCTATGCCTACCTCAGGCGAAGAATCAGAGCAACGCCTGGTCTCCCGACTCTCGCCAAAGACGGGACACTAGCTGAAAAAGATGTGGACAACGCGGAGATGTTGGCATCACATTATGTTTCAGTGTACATCCCAGACTCCAACACATTGGCACATCTACTGGACACCAACACTGCCCTGAACTGGACTCCATTTACCATCGGAGAGGTGGCCACGTAACTGCGTTGGCTAAATATTCACCAGTCACCTGGATCTAATGGTGTGCATTCACTGATCCTGAGGGAGCTGGTAGATGAACTTGCAGCGCCACGGCGCAACCTATTTAATTTGTCATTCACTCAAGGGCGTTTACCGCGGTAGTGAAAGGATGTTGTCATTGCTCTACTGCCCAAAGTTGGGGATAGGAGTGACCCTGATAACTACCGATCAGTCAGCCTTGCCGGTATTGTGGATAAAGTAATGCAGCGACTGGTGGCTGCACGGTTTCGGCAGCATTTGGTGTGCCACGGTCACTCGTGCCACCAAAAACACAGTTTCTGGCCAAGTTGCTCATGTGTCTCAAACCTTCTACTTGCGCGTGAATGCCGGAACGATCAAAAGGCCAAAGGACACAAAACGGACATCATCTTCGTGGCCTTCAGCAAGGCCTTCGACAAGTTGCCGCACGACCTCCTTCTGCGAAATATGTC